AATTTGTAACGGAGACATATTTAGTGTTTTTTTACAAATATATACTGAGTGACTTGTTTTTGTGAATGAGTTCAAGTATGGCAGACTAAAATCGTTATTTTTTATTATGAATTAATTTGAATTTATTTTAAAATGGGAACTATATGTATATGGTTTTCGTAGTTTTTACACTTGTGATAAAAATATCAAAGTTATGTATATTGGCCATTTACTACACACAGCAAATTCATAGACACAATACATATTATTACTATTTGATATTCTTGTAAAACCACTAATTTAAAATTAACTTTAAACTAAGTGACTACACACAGAATTGTTTGAAAGCAGCCATAATAAGGTATAATTTAATTATTGGATACTATAAAAAAATTAATAGTAGTTACATGTAGAGTTAAGTAACAAGAAATTTAAGACCAAAAACAAAACAAACCTTTATATCTAGTGAACTTAATTTGGTACAGTCCTCAACTTTCTTAGGCTAACATTAAAGATATCTATTTGGACCTCGCTAAGAAACTCATTGGTAACAGCCATCATTTTGTTAAAAGGAGATATACTACTTGGATCTAAATCAAATAATTTTTTGTTACTTGGGTTTCTTAGATTAATCTTTGCCGCATTAAAATTTATATAGTCAATCAAATCACAATCTTTGTACTTAAAATTATTTAAAATATAGTACAAAATATATCACAGCCTGTTGCTTTCTTTTTTGTAAAAGAGATTTAATCTTAAAACTATCGAACATAGTTTTATACGAGATCTTAGGTATAAGGGTACAAGTATTTTTTATGACATAAAGGTACTGTAAAAATATTTTTTGTACTTTTTCAATATGATCAATTTGTGTGGCTTCCAAGGGCATTCATATTTGTGAAACATACTCAAGATACTATGTGTAAGAAATGGTTATTGAACTTCAAATAAGACTGAAAGACAACTCCCAAATCATTTACCTCATATTCACGATTTAATGCGACATCACAGGTCTTATTTCTAAGATAAAACATTAAGAGGCTACGGATCCTTACAACTTAAAATATGCATACGTTTGTAAGTGTTAAATGGATAAAAAGTGTTGATTTTTATGTACAACTATAATAAGAACCTATTAAAAAGATTAAGAGCAATAGAACATTTAAACAAATTTCTATAGATACACATATTTTTGATACCTGATAATCAATAAATAATATTTTTTTGGAGTAGCAACAGGTTTAATAATTAATACACAACTATTATTGTTACAAATACTTATAATATTTATAATTAACATAATAGTTGATATAAGTCTTTTAAAAATAATATATTTTGATTTAATTGTTGAATTTATACATGAGCAATTTTCCTTGTAGGGTTGTTTACATTTTGCAGAGAAATATTGTATTCTGCTTTTAGCTGATAAATCATATGTACATGTAAATGGGGTCAATGTAGACAATGTTAATGTTTTTGGTACTACTGCTGGCTAGGAATGCTGGGCTGGGACACCAACAAAAAAAAGGAAGCACAAAGCACTAGATGTTTTTATCACTTATACACGTACAATTTACAACCATTCAAGTAACTAGCATGTTGGAAATACTTCACGAAAACATATTAAATATAAATCAGTCGAAGGCAATGTATTTTCTTTTTATAACACACCTTTTTAGCTTGATTACTTCTAGTACTCTATTTATTCCAATGTCCTCAAATAAAACAAGCAATAATATATAACAATAAGGATAAAACACACACTGAAGTGTATTTGGGGTATTTTTGATCTAAATCCACTATCAAAATAACAAATTTTCCGTTTTTAAGCTGTGAATGTATTACAAGAACTACTTCGATAAAATGTAAACAAAAGTTTATATTTGTGTACGAAATATGGGTTGCCTGCGCATGGTAGCGAGTTTTTAACCGGATTTATGACAAGTGATAGGTTATATCCCGAAAACGTCAGCGCAGTAAAATCTGCGCGTCTTTTTCCCGCCCAGGGAGTGTCATAGGCCTGGTCTAATTGTTACAATTTTCCAAGATATTGGAAAGTAGTTTCTTTGAATACAACAAATTAGAAGGTGCGTATTGTAATTATCAATATGCGGACTACAGTACTTCAGCATGGAGATTGACACAGCATCAACTCATGGCATTAGATTTGATATTATGGAGTAGTTTATTAAATTCTCTGACAGTTATGAAATCAAATGCTAGTTTGTTTCTATGCAAATTAGGTAGTGTTGAATTATTATAATATTCTAATAGGTCATCATCTACTTCATAATCAACAAAAACAGAACAAAAGTAATTATTTATTTCTTCGGGTTTCTGCAGTGAAATAGGTAGGGTTATTTCTTGCTTTCTGGACTGAAGTTTATTTAGACCCTTCCATAAATCCTTGGATTTATGGGAAATAAACAGGTTGTCAGAATAGGCTCTTTTTTCACGACGTATAGAGGAGCGAGTGACATTTCTTAATTCCTTATACCTATCCCAATCAGTGTGTAATCTTGTTTCCTTAAATTTGCTTAAAGCAAATTTTCTTTTCTTAATTAGTAATTTGATTGGATAAGTTAACCAGGGTGCATAAGGTTTAGTAATATGTAGTTTTTAATGGCACATGTTTATCAAACAAAAGAATAACTTGTTCTGTAAGAAACTGCACTTTATCATCAATATTTTCAATATTGAAAATTTCATGAAATGGAGTATTTATTAAATCATTGTAAAAAACTGTCAAGTCAAAATTTTTAAAATCTCTAAACGTATAAAATGTAAGTTTCTTTATTTCTGAAAATTCCAAACTACAGAAAGAGTACCCCTGGTTAGAAAAATTTGTTTGGTTTAACCTGGTTTTTTACTAAACTACAATCACTTATATAAATAGAATCAAGCAGAGTTATCGAGGTGGATGTTATTCTAGTAGGTTCAGTTATAGATTGATATAAGTCGTACGCATCAAAACAAGATGGATTATCATTTGTCAACAAATCAATATTTATGTCACCTACGCAAATAATGTGATCAACTGTAGGCAGAATTTTTGACAAAGTAGAGTCAATACTATCAATAAAAAGGGAATTTTCCTTTAGGTGGTCGATATATAATTCCAATGCAAACGCGAAAACAGTTTATCATAAATTTAATCCACATTTACTCACAGTTTAAGTCAGAGGAATTAACTCAACTAATTGTAAACCAGTACTATAATTAATTAAATTAAGACCAACACCACACCTCTAGATTGTCTATCAAGTCAGTAAAAATCCAACCCAGGAATCGAAATGGTGTTTGTATCAATATTTGCAGACAACCATGTTTCAGCAAGAGCAATACAGTCAAACTCATTTACCAAACTCAGAAATTCATCAAAATTTGCCACAAGAGGACGAACGTTAAAATTACAAAGTCTAAACATTTTAAAGATAAAAATATAATTAGAACAGATAAATTTTTTTATAAAAGTACTATTATAGATAGCCTATCTTGCTCTTTAAAATGTCTATATGGAATTTAAAAGTTGGGCACTCGCGGTCACTATTTTGGTGTCCAGTGGCGTAGTTTGTGTTGTAATTATGGTTATGCAGAATTTTTCCTGTTTGGGACATTCTTCTTTGTGTTCTTCAGAGCAACTGTGACAAACCATTCTATTCTTGCATTCATTTTTTTTTGTGATAAAATTGTTGACAATTAAAACATCTTGGTATTTCTAAATCTTCATATACTGCCTACCTTTCCCAACCTAGACAAATCTTCTTCATGTTTATAATCTGATGAAATGCATTTGGTGTGCATTCACAGATGATTGTTTTGGTCTTTTTTTAATATATTTTTTTTATAAAATTAACTTTTACCTCCCCACTTATTCCGTTTTGATCTTTTATAAAATGTTCGATTTCCTCATTGGTTAAATCCTGAGTTACATTAACGATTTTAATTCTTGGCAGTTTTAATTTATTCAATTCCGTATCATATTCATCTTTAAGTGTGTTATTGAAAGCCTCCTTTAATATATTCAACTCTCTTTTATTTTAACACTTGATTTCAATATTACCAGATTTGCTTTGTTTTATGTTAGTTACTCCGATTTTGAGTTTGGCTGGATTAATCTTAGATAATATATCTTTTTTTGTTTGATCATGTGACTGCTTCTTCTTTGATCTATTAATTTAGGAAGATTAGATTTGACTGCCATACCAGTTGTGGTTACCTTGTCTTGTTTCAAAACACTAGAGTAAATAACATTATGCTCTTCCAAATTTTTAATTTTTTTTTCTTTCAAAAGTTTTATAATTAGTTCCTGGTCTTCAATGATTTTATTTTTATTAGCTAGTGTGGATTTTAAAATATCTATAAACTCAAAATTCCTACATTTCTTTCAGTTAAACTTTAGTGTAAGTTTTTGTAGAGGTATGCACCTTAATTCTGACGTAGATAACTCACTAAATTCTATACATACTAGATTTTTGCAGCCATCACATAGGAAACAAGGATTTTTTAAATCCTTAGTTGGTTGTTTAAAGCTTTGCACAGGAAATCCATATTATATTGTCTAAGTCATTTTAACTTAAAAATCCTCGCGACATGTACGCCACTGGCAGCAGGCTTCGTAGGTAATAGATAAGAAAGAAATGAGTTTTTTTCTCAATAATGTTGCTAAGGACGCGTATTTTAATTCAAAAATGCATTTTTAACGCTAAACTACACTAATAATAAATACAACTTGATCTGAAGGGAGAACATGTTCTATTACAAATGTGGTAAAAAAATCAAAATTTTTAAACATGTTTTAACCACTTTAAACTTAGAAACTTGATAGCGCTTTCAGTGCTATCGGTGCGCAGTCAGTGAGTTAGTGAAACACCTGTAATAATTCTCTTTCATCCTGATCCTGACATATATTGTGACAACATTGAGCTATATTTAACACAGTGAACAAATCTATTGCCTCTTTAAACTATTGAATGGTTAAATCTATAAATGTGGAAATTAAATTAATATGAAAATCATACCTGATATTTGGCACAAGCAGGGCCAGTAAATTCGATTACATCGTCAAAAACGCAGACGCCCCATTGGCGGTCAGCCCAACCGCGGTTTGGCGTCAAAAGATTAACAAAATGGCTGCATATTTGGTCGAAGAAGGGTAAGAAGTTTTCTCTGTATACTAAAAACATGGAGTGAAGGACATCAGTTATTTTGCTAAGAACATAAATGTCGTCAGATTCTTCATCTTCGAGCTGTTCTTGAACCTCCTAAATAAAACAAAAAAAATCGGTAATATTTTTTTCTTGTATACCTAGATAAAACATTTAATTTTATTAAGTCTGCAACGTAAAAAATATTGGTAACAATCTATTTTCTTACTTCATCATAGTCTTCATCCAAATGTTTCTTATGTCTATCATTGGCTCTTTCAAAATGTTCTTTCATTAATTTATCAATTATCCTTAAAATTTCAGTCATGGATTCCTGATCAATATAAGTGGGTCCTAGTTTCTGAATGCATCTTTAACAAAAAGAAACATTTTTAAATGTTTACCAAGTATACTAAATTCATAAAATTTTTAACACTATTTCGGTAGCCCAAACTTTGTAAATATAAGTGGGTGATTCTCGGATAACTGTGATTTTTTATGTCCAGTGTTATATTTATCGTTTAGTTAAGTTTTCCTGGGATGGCATCAGACATGCAAGTCTATTTACCACAGAAAGTTTTAACTTAATAATTTTTGTATATATTATGTTAAATATCTATTTTAGTATTTTGAGTAAATTTAATAATAGCGTCAAAAATTATCTTATCTGATTGAACTAAAAGTGAAGACATATTGAGTGGAAGTGGGAGTGAAAGTTTATTTAAATCTTGATACAATACGGTGGTATGTTGAGCATTTTTATTACAATCTAAAAATAAATGATTGATATCTGCTACAGGTTATTAATATTAAAAATTTAGAGGTATTTTATAACCGACATTATGAATTAGATCATAAACCTTCGTATTTTTTTTTAAGCTGCATATAAATATACTCGAAATGTCAGTACCGTGGTATGTCCAATTCTCATTTTTGAAATTCAATTCATAAATTTCTATCAAAATTAATTTTTTATTATAAAATTTACCTCTTATAACTGCAATCTAATGCATACTGCATTGAATTTTATTGCAATTTTATAACAAGTTTTCAATTGGTAAAAAAAAAAAGTAATTTATATGTCAGTACCGTGGAAATAATGTCAGTACCCTGGCATTAAAATTTTGAAATTTTGTCAGTTTTCGTTGTGTCGTAGCTGTAATGTAACCACTTTGCAGGCTTATTTCTGTGCATAAATAGAAAACAAAAACGCGTAAAACATACGTTTTAAAACATTTTTAATTTTAGAAAAATTTAATTCGTAAAAATCGCAGTTACACGAGAATCGCCCACTTGTTTTGGGCGGCATGATTCAACAAACAACTGATCGACGTTAACTAGAGTACGAACGGTCACAGAATGTATTCAATTATGGCCTGTAATGGAACGCGACACATACTGTGTGAATTTTTAATTAATTTGCATGATTTCTTTGCTCAATTTGATGATTGGCGTATTAGGAGTAATTATTTAATTTCTGCTGTTATGATCCAAATTACTATCCCAGTGGGTTTTGATAATGGTGGGCGAGATTTTTCTTCACCTGTAAGTCAAATGGCACCATCCACCATCAGAGGTTCATTTGCAAGGGGGTGAATGATAAGGTATTATTATATTATTACTAGTGCTTTAAAGCTGTCGCCTAGCTAAAGTGACAGTTTTGTACATAGACTGACATGTTAAAAAAAACAATGTTAGTGTTTGTAGAAAAATGTATATTTACCTAGCCAGAGAGTCGAGCATGGCCATTAATACTTCGCTTTCGGGTTCAGTATCAATAGCTTTCAATAATTCCGGACATATAAATCGCCACATATCCCCTACAAAAGCGGCGCCCTTGCCAGTGGCGCACTCTAAAAGCCAAGGCAGGGATTCAGCAGCTGCGTTACGGACACCGTCATGGAAGTAGAATTTGAGCATAGGGACCATTAATTTGACGACTTCTTCAGCGTAATTCGAGAAACTTTCTTTTAATTCACGGGCATAACAAACCAACATACTGCAAGCCGCGGCTTTATCTTCCAAACCTAAAAGAGATTAAAAAAATCACTTATTATCCTTGTTAAAACTAACGAAAATTAAAATGCTACATTCTAGTGGATACAATGTTCAATAAGCGATTATTTACCAAATGAAAGTTGTTTTGATTTATGTAACTGTAGTTAATGATATCATAAAACTGTTTTATTTTTCTAATCATATATTTATGTGATTACAAATCAATAGTTTTGAAATACGTAATTTCAGAACCGACTTGAAAAAGATGAATAATAATTTGCAACAAAATGAAGTTATTATCTACAAAAAATATGTATAACGACTTTATACAGACCTCAGCTGATAAAAAAAAGTTTAATATTTTAAGTACATTACAATTAAAACAAATAAAACTAATCAAGTTATCCCCTTTTTAATTTTTTAACATTCATATTAATCAAAACTAATAAAAGTTAACTGATGTCCAGGGCCTTATCTATAATCCATGAAGATTACAATGGTTTAGTACTTTAAAATGCAGGTTTTAATTTTTGAAGTTGCGAAGTGGTATAAATTATAAAAAAAAAGAAATCTTTTGTTTACCTGCAGTACGAATGCCAAAGTTCTTTTGCTCGCCAAGTGATACGAATTGCCAATCATCATCGCCTTCAACTCCTTGCATATCATCGTTGTCCAATAAGGCTACATCCGGTTTCATAGCTGCTGTCCTCATTACTGGTCCCATCACCAAAGGCAAATATTGTTCAAAGTTCTTGCCAAGAACCTAATTTCAACAACAACAAAAAAATAAATCAACATTTATTTTTCCAAACAAAATATTTAAATATTGTGATGAGTGGTTTTTAGTGTTTGCCTCATAAAATATTTTTAATCAGATCTTCAGGAATTGGATCCATTTTTAAATCATAGGCAAACATGTTTCACAAATATGAGAATAGTACATTGTACTAATTGTTCTTTTTAAGCTGACATTACACTATATTAACAGTAGAACGTTTCCGCAGTCTCAAAATGTTATCATTAGATAAGAAAAAGTTAAAACACCACACATTTTGTTTAAAAAAGTCTGATTGATAATAAATGCAGTATTGCCTTATAATCGGTTCAATGCTGTGATGAAATTTATAAAGTCAAACTATAGGTGTTCTCTGTCTGATAAGTCTCAGTATTAATATTTATACACTGATCAGTGAAAACCAACATCCCCAAACTTCCCATTATTTTTTTATATATATATTTTGAATAAATAAAAATAATTATACTAACAAATTTTTTGGAACTTATTACATATCACCGATAAAGTTGCATATAGAGTATTTTATGATGTAGCCCTTACAAAAGCAATTTTATTTTCAGCAGCCCAAAATTTCCAATTTTTAATAATTTCTTAAATAAAAATAATAATTTTCTCGACTCTCAACCTACCTTACAAATTCTAGACCAAGCCGATATAAGATAACTAGTTTGGGGATCGTCATCGGGTAATTCCGCGCCATCTCCATGAGTTTTTAACAACATATCCATGACTTCAGTTGCATCAGCACTGAATTTATCAGATCCTACTGCCATACCAATCAAAGTAACACATTCAATAGCTTTTCCTGCCATAATAAGAAAAAGTGTAAGAATACTGTAAGAAACTGGTAATTATATAATTGTTCGAATAAAAATTACCTCTTAAAAGTTTCAGTTCTTCTTTTGTAGCATTCTGAATAATATATTTTAAGCAAGGCATCAAACGATCGTAGTAAGCTATGAATTCTGTTTCAGCTGTATCAGCGACGCTGGCTATAGTAGTTACAACTTGCTCTAACACCAGTTTAGTGCCTTTTTCTACTAATTCTTTGAATTTCGCCGTTAATATGCCTTCTAGTTTGCTCATTAAAGCGTCCAAGTAACCGCTGAGAATATGTTTTGGACAATCTTCGGCAAAATTTACCAAAGCAGCACCTGAAAGAGTTTGTAATATATAATAAACTGAGGCTGTTAATTTAGAAAACTCTTCACTCGTTAAAACACTCCCTTGTTACTAGCTGACTATACTTAAAACAATAATACTTTGGAGAAATAAAATCAATTTACTTTAATGTTTTATATTTCAAATAATATTGGCCTTACCTGCATGAGCTTGAACTCTGGGGTTGTTATTGTCATCTAGCAACATAAGTAAACCAGGTACTACTCTATCGTGAAACTTTTTCTCGAAAGTGGGAGCAAAATCAGTTGACATTTGACCAACTGCATTGCAAGCTGCATATCTCACTCTTGGATGGGGATCTTGTAAGTAACGTAAAACACCTTCCATCACTCCGGGTACTCCATTCATGATTTGTTGGAGCATGCCTTCCATTTGTTTGTGACAACCTTAAAATAAATTTTAATTAAATAATGTGTCTATTTTTTTAATTTGCTATAGTAGTCATAAAAAGACGAATGTACTTTCGATATAATTTATTTCAGTGTTACCGTCCAATTAGGCAATTCAAATTCCTCGACATTAAATGATTGATGATTGGAAAAAACAACAAAAAATATTGTTTTGTAAGAACATATTTAGTGAGGTCACTACTCGAGTTTTTAGTTATTTTTGGTATGTTTAATCAAAAAAATTGCAAAAATTAATGTTTATTAAGTATTAGGTATATGAATATTAAATGCATTTTATTACACATCTTTTTAGTCTCAAACGCACTACAAATTAATAAATTAAGCTAGGATCTTTTAGAATCTTCAAATCAACGATCAACAGTTCCAAAACTCACATATTGGCCGTTATTTATAATAACAGATCAACAAACTGTTATTTTTGCCAATCGTCAAATATTCTGACAGGACATTGGATTGCCAAAAAATATGGTTATAAGCAAAAAACTAGGTTTTTTTTTTGAGAAAGGGCATGACCAGAGCTACTTTTTAGAAGTTCAATCTCATTTTATTTAAAAATTAAATGCCTCAGTTAGTAATTCACATCATGTTTACTCAAGAGTAGCAAATACTAAAAAAATCATCATTGGCATATTTCATTCTTAAGAGTAATGGTTTAAAAAAACAAAAAAATACTATTTACAATGTAAATTTTGTAATTGTAGTAACAAAAACGGAAAACTTTTGTCTAAAAATGCACTGGTACTTAATTTATTGGAAAACCTAAAAAGCCAAAGAATTATAGCAACCTTAGATTTGTTAAAATAAACTATCAGGAACATTTTTCCGACGCGTTTAATGGAAACAACTGCAAGTCCTAAATTAGATATTTAATTAAACAAAAAAAAACCTAATATCGTTTGCCTTTCTGAAACACATGTAACAGAAGATATTTATAATTCAGAAATTAGTGTATGTGGTTATGCAGTTAATAGAACTGACAGTTCTAGTAGGCATACTGGTGGAACTATATTGTTACATAAGGAGGATTTACAAATATTGCAAGTGTATAAAGTGTGAGAAGATAAAAATTTTTGGTTGACAGTATCATTATTATTTCAAAATAAAAAGTATATATTTGTTTTATATATTCTTGGATTTGTTTGAAAATTATTTTGAGAGTAATATTGGTGAAACAAACGATAGAATAATTATATCTGGCGATGTTAATATAAATTGGATAGAGGGTGCTATATATACAGTGAGCACCATAAGTCTTACTCCCCTATCTAACTCATTACTGGAGTCTTGTTAGGAAAATTGCCGAGACAGGTCGATTTTTGATTTCTACAATGTATATTTTTGTATGATTAGTTTACCCTTAATTTCATCCCTTACTGGAGGGGAGCAACCCTTTCGAAAAATTTAAATGGCATGGGGTGGTGAGTGATAGCTCATTTGAAAGGGGGTTTTATTCTCTATTCAACCGTGCAAAAAAAAATTTAAAATTTACTTCATTACGTGTTGATTTATTAATGTTTAAAAATAACAAAAGCTCACAAAATAGGAAAGCAACTAAACTAACAGTGACCTTCTAATGGCAAAAAGTCTTACTTCACGTCTGAACCAAAACCGAAATCATGCAGGGCCGAATTTTAATTCTAAGGATGAGTGCGCTACGTGAATTTCCGTTATTCTGAAACAACAATTAGTCGAGAATGAATGAAGCAAATTTCAACATTTTTTACACGGTCGAATAGAGAATAAAACTCTCTTTCAAATGAGCTATCACTCACCACCCCATGCCATTTAAATTTTTCGAAAGGATTGCTCCCCTTCAGTAAGGGATGAAATTAAGGGTAAACTATTCATACAAAATTGTACATTGTAGAAAACAAAAATCGACCTGTCTCGGCGATTTTCCTAACAAGACTCCAGTAATGAGTTAGATAGGGGGGGGGTAAGACTTATGGTGCTCACTGTATATATATTTAGTAATAGATTAAAAAATATTATTTGTGATATGGGTTTTAAAAATGTGATAAATGAGTTTACGCATATAAATGATAGGGGAGGGACATTAATAGATTTAGTTTTGTCTAATATAGAACTTAATGTTACAATATTTGATGAACCAAAAATAAGCAGTCATCCCAATATAACAATATCACTGAAAAATATTCAACTAAATAAGCAGAATGATGAATATTGTTTAGAGACCTGGGGGTCGATTCTCGACTCGTAGGAATTTTTTCCTATAGGCATTTTTGACATTTTTCTACACATCGGAAATTTATGACATTTGTCTACATGTAGGAAAGTGTCACAAATTCCTATAGGAGAAGGTTCCTACAAGTCGAGAATTGACCCCCAGGGGAAGAAATATAGACTTTAAATAGACAGGAATAAAATTAAAGGAAATTAATTGGAACTATAGTGAAAGGGATTTAGATAAGAGATATAGGGGTCTATTCTGTAACAATTCCTTTATATTTAACGGCCTTTAAAAGTATATTTGTATTCGTTAATTTACTTCTGTCATTATTTAAACAGATTTCTTTAAGATAGTCCTCTAATGTATTTTAAAGATCCGTTTAAATAATGACAGAAGTAAAGAAGAAAATATTTTTAAAGGCCGTTAAATATAAAGGAATTGTTAGAGCAGGGGCAGATCTGCAAAGTTGCAGACGTTCTGTAATCTCACCCTTAACAGATAACTTTTTAAATTAGGTCGAAAACTAGGTAGTGAACAACTCCAGTTTAAAAACTGGAAAGTATTAAATAAACTTACTGCGTTGTATGTGAACGATCTTTCAAACTTAGCAGAAGAGTGGTGGGGCATGGTACGAGTATTATGTCTTATATGACGTGTACGGACAGCATTACGGAAAATGATTTTTTCAAATAGATATACTGGACTTTTGAATTTAATTAACCGGAATAGAAAAATCATAAAATGTAAGGTGAACAAATTAAAATTTTTAACCATTTAAGTTGAGAGAAGTATGTGTATTTAATGTCTACATTAATAATTTATTTTTAAGTCTGCAGATTTTGATTAAAATTGGTATCAGAGTATTTTAAAAGTCAAAGATAACAGATCTTAAATAAGTTTTTAAATATTCAAAATGGCGTTGAAAGGAATCGTATTTAATCAAAAAAAGTCCCCCTCGAATGGAAACAATAAAAAGCGTCCTTTTGGTTTGTGTATCTGGACCATTTTAAAAGCGGCCGTTATTCAATAATTTTAAATCATTAAAATGTGCTATAATTTCTATATCGAAGGAAGTACTGGGTAAAATACTTAACTGATTTATTTTTATAGATATTTACAGTAACAAAAAAATATCAATTTCTTTTTAAAAACATAGTAATAAATAGAGAGTTATTGCAAATTTATATAACGTCAGCCACTAATAGTGACAACGTAATTAGAGGCAAATAAATTCCAAGCTAAAATAGGACATTGCAAACCTGAAATTTTGACATTAGAATCCTTGTCCTTATACATATTTTTAACATAATTTTAAAAATTTTAAATTACAGTTCATCTTTTTTGTTGTTTATAATAGTACAAAATATGGAAGAGTCATTAGAAATTACCATTTTAGAAGGTTTAGATGATGATGATATTAAATATTAAGAAATTTCGAACTGATACGAATGTTGGCGAGCGCACCCGAATACTATAAAGTCGCCACTAAGGTCCGTATACGTTTCTAAATTCCAGATGGTTCCGGTGTTACACTGAAATTAAGAGATGGAAAATAGCAAATATGTAACTGTTAAGTACATTTACGGATTTGTTACTAACCATCTCTAAATTTTCGCGATATAACCGAACTTCGATTTTAGTTCAAGGACGACTTACCCAAGTTCGAATCAGCTGAGTTCTGTTTATAAATACGCATCTAACTGCTGTCCTTAAACGTCCACAATTAAGGACAGGCACAATCTTTATTAAAGTTAGTTCTAGTATGTAAGTGATCTGCGCATACTCAGATGTCAAAATAAGAGCGACACCAATAGTGACTGACCTTAAGTTGGCCGGGATTTTTTAATTTAATTTAATTATTTAAAATTAATTCTGATGCCTTGGTAGGATTCCCCACTCGACCATTCACTGTTGGGTTCTAATTAACAGTTCTCTTCCTAAAGTGGCGCTGGGAAACAGTAACAAAGCCTACACACAGAACACGAGGCTAATGACCTTAGCAGTCGATGCCGATGACACACAAAAAAAAAACTTTCTAATCTTAAATCTTACCTTCTCCAATGGCACTAAGTGCCATTAAGGCGGCATGCCGTTGCTTCCAATCAGGACTGGCCAACATAGCAGGAATATTTTGGGTAACAAGAGGCAGGATGATTTTTCCACCTGAAAGAAATAATATAATAAAGCTACAAAATTAATAAGTAAATTAATAATATACATATAAATTGTATAAATATTTTTGATATTGCCTCAGAAACTAAGATTTTAATCAGATTTTGTTCAGGAATTGGATCCATTTTTTAATCACAGGCACATAAGTCTTCTATTTAAGATTTATCATGAATAACCATTATTGTCAATTTTTTATTTATTGAATAATTGCTAGATATTTCTGATGGTTAACTGCATTTATTATTTTAATTATTATATATTTCCGTCACATCCATATAAACTTGTATAAGCTTACCTAGTCCACAAGCAAGGCGATCTAGAGCAGCCTCGGCCACAACGTTGTTGCAATCGTTGTCTTCGTCTAAAAGTTCATCTGATTCGGACCAGCTAGCTTCGTCTTCTAAGTCGGCCATAAATTGCAGAATAAGGGGAATTAGTTGTTCCATATATTTAGAAGCATTTTTACGAACCATGGCGGGTGCCATTTCAGCGAGAGTCACCATCACCTAAAAGACAAAAATATGTTTTTAAATAATATAATTTGTACATTTATTACTAAAGATTATGAATTAAAAATATTATGCCTCAGACAACAATTTACATCATGTTTACTCAAGAGTAGCAAATACAAGAAAACATCATTGGCATAAATTTAATTTAATCCTAACTTTTAGTAATTTAAACTTATAATACCTCTAAAGCCAGCTGTCTCCAGCTATCCAAGGCCCCGCTATCACTGAAAATTTTCATGCACATCTCATAAATGGGTAACAATTGTGGTCTCAAATATTTCGGAACATTCTCGGCTAGGTCAATGAGTACTTTTAATAGGGTATCGTCTTCTTGCTGCTGAATGCTTTCAGCAATTACATGTAGCATTGGGGTTAAAAGATCGGCGAAGTGTTTTAAAATTTGAGTTTCCTTGTCATTGATCAGCATGAAGGCACCAACTGCGCGTACAGCTTGAAATCGAACCTAAAGATTTTAAAAAATATTTCCTTTAAATTGATGAAATAGATTTATCTAAAAAATCAAATGATTCATGATTAGCTTGATTTAGAGACGAGACAAAATATCTTAAACTATAAATAAAAATAAAATTATAGGTATATAATATTAACATACCTCGTAAATCTCAGTTGGTTGAAGGCTTTGCAAAAGCATTTGTTTGATAAGATCCAAATAGTTGTTTTGTTGATTGCCAAACACACCTGGTACACTGGTGAACATCTGTAAAGCAGCTTCCTTGAGAACAGGATTCTGATCATTGGCACAATGGAAGAGGAACTGAAAAAAAAATACAATACATATAATAATTGCATTTTTTAAGTTTATAACATCAATTATTATTGTTACAGTAGTTAATACAAACTGAAATAGACTGGAATATTAGGTTGATCAGACTAGGTAAAAAAGAATAAAATTGTCAGCTGAACCGAGTAGAGGTGCAAGTTACAGCACTGGCGAATTAATTGGCACAGTGATGTGATAACGGAGAAAAGTGTTGAAGAGGTATTTATAGAACAAGGTAAGACTGTCAATTGCCGAGAAGAGCAAATATAAATTTTAAATACAGGAATTTTTCACCAATATTAATGCTGGATTTAGCTTGCCCAATATTGGAATTCTGGTATTAGAATGCGAGGGGTTAATTAAATAAAATAATCCTTAAATGTGCAATTTTATAGCTATTATTTTTATAGTTTATCGGAATTACTTGTTAGCTCTAAGTGGCATTAAAAGTAAAAAAAAGTATTTAAGGAGGATTCACACAAGTTGAACAATATATTTTTGTCTACGTTCCGCTAAAGTAAAAACTACAAAATTTTATTAAACTTTATTAAGACAAAATTACGGTGTTACGCTGTTATGCATCGCCTCCAGACTTGTTGAGCAACGGTGTTAAGATACAAAGTTGTCACAGTATAGAGCATATATAGGCAACTCCAACAACTTCAATCCGGCCTGCGAGATTCAGAAAATTCAAATAATGTGCAACACAATTATAGAGTTAGCACACATAGTTTATTTGTAATTGTATTTAGTGAACAAAGTGGAACACCAATGTATTCAAGCATTGTAACGTTATAAATAACGTTTCAGTTTTATCTACATTTAATAATTATACCCTCCTGGGAAAAAATTTCGTTATGCCACTGGTACGAATATTTCCTTATCGTATGTTTCAACCCCACCCGTTCTTCGAAAGTCGATGATTTGGGTCCTGCGCGCGATAGTACAATGAAATTTACATTTTAAGTCAGCTTACGGAATATTCTCTATCTTTTCGCTGTGTGAGTTCGAACTATCTACTTGTTTTTTGTGAATGCTTGATGACAAAAGGTAATTATTTAATATATTTGGTTATTTAGAACTGCTTTATCAGTGATTACAGGTTCAACATTTCGTTTGTAGATTATTACGTGAGTTCCACGAATTGTCTTGGGTTGATTAACGTTAAAATGCTGTTGTGTAACACATGTTAAGAGATTTTTTTTTATATTAGTGACTGACACTGTGACATGAAAATGGATGCCAGCTTGCATTAAGAGGAAACCTCGAGGGAAAAGAGGAACAATAGAGCCTTACAAAATACGCTGTATGGTGAAGGTGTCCAAGCAAGAGAACAGTAGTATTTTCTCATCAACGGTCCAGTTAAGGCCGTAACTCCTCGACCGTCAACCCGAGCCAGATAAGTATCTGTCAGTAATCCAAACATTTTTTTTTTACCAAAGAAAATCTATAAGTCACTATATTTTAATTTAATTAGATTTAAAATTTAACCATTTGTTGTTTTAATATATTTCTTAAACTTGAAAATTGTTAAGTGTTTGACGTTAACATTAAAGTCACTATATTTTAATTTCACTCTTTGAATTTATTCCTTACTTTCAACTAGCAAATTAATGGCATAATTTGTATTTATTAACCATCTAAATACATGGCATACTTAACCATTAATAGAACACTTTCTTGTCCTGGTATGAGCTAGTCCGAGGGTGATTAACTGATGAAAATAAAGTTACTATATTATTTTACCTGATTCGTTACAGCATACGCAATGGAACGCCACAGATAGTACCAGAAATAGTAGTTAGAAACAAACAAAGAGATAAACATTGTCTGATACTAGCATTTTCAATTGCTTTGGATGATTTACCTGACAGATTAGTTAGCTACTTTTATACGAAATGTTGATGAAAAAGTTGCAGTGACAGAGGAATTACTGGCTTTACGACCGCTACAAGGGACCACTAAATATTTTTGCCGAGGTGCAAAGTACTTTTGAGTAATATGGTTTGCAGTGGTGTAAATTAGTTGGAGTGAGCACGGATGGTGCGCCTTCAATGGTCGGTTCATCAAAAGGTTTTATCGGAAATCTGAAGGAAAGAGCAACCGCTATGAATGTGCAAGAATGTGATTTAATAATTCTGCATTCATCAACAAAACCTGTGCTCCAAGTCCATTCGATTGAAGAATGTTATGGATGTGGTAGTAAATAGCATTAATTTCATTAGATCCCGCGGTCTTAACCATCGCCAGTTTAAAGCATTTTTGGATGAACTTATTTCAGAACACAATGATGTGACATTTTATTGTGAAGTAAGGTAGCTAAGCAAAGGTAAAATGCTAAAAATATTTTATGACCTTAGAAAAGAAATAGCTGATTTTATGGAAATGAAAGAGAAAATATTTCCGCAAATTTGTGATCAAACGGCTTTATGACTTGGCCACAGGATAAAGAACGATACAGAAAAGAAACATAGGGCTAAAACAGGAACCTAGCAACCGAAGCCACACCTTCTTTATGGTGGAGCATTGTCAAAAGTGAATCGCAGATTTGTTTCTTGTTCGAAGTGCAAACTTTTGTAGCAGATGAACGAAGCTGTCACTGCTGTCGCTGTCAATATTTTTTTGCCTGTCGCCTTTTGATTTTTGGTTGGTTTTAGCGAATATTCTAATAACTTTTACGTTTTGTTAGTGGTTTATCTTTAGTTTTTGTTGCTGTTTTTAATTGTGGAATGTTCATTTAAGACTTTATTGTACGTATTAAGATTAGATTTATAAACAATGCCGCGTCAAAGAGAAGGAGGGTATACTCAAGAACAGGTGACACAGAAGGATTGTTCATTCTTGTGAAAGATCCAGTGAGGTATGTATGAAACATTCGAGTGTGAAATAGGAATTGACCTTTCCATAACATTGTAGTACAATGATTGTATGTATTTTTCAGACTTGAATTGTGGCTTCAGGCAGGAAATAGAAAGGACTTATTGGCAAAGAGTGTTGAATACTTAAGTAAATAATACAAAATTTGTGAACTGCACTTCCAGGATAAATTCGTTTCATCAGTCAGGAGCAAGAAAACGATTATTTGCAAATGCATTCCCATCAGTATTTCCTCACTCAGAACCTATGAAAAGAGTCACAGTTCTGCAAGGTAAATAAATAAAATTTATAGTTAAATGCTACAAAAAGTTTGCTACTTGTCTCGCTTGTTATTTTTTTACATTACATTTAGTAGTTTAAAAAATAAAATGATAAGTACTAATAATCTTAGAATATCAACCCATACATTCCATTTTATAGAACTGCCTCGGAGGTAAACTGTACTATGTCGACATACAACAACTTATGCAAATTAAATAAAGTAGTTTTATCAGTTAGGTTAGTAAAAAATACAAATATTGTGACAATAAATGGGGTGTCTAACTGCATATCTAGTTGAAATTTAATAATTTAACAACATTCAATCTGCTGTACTAAACAGTTGACTAGAATGACATAGTGCAGTTTACCTCCTAGGCACAGAAATATATTCACATTTAATGAAATTATTTTAAATTTCATCTGGCTAAAAAGTGTGACTTAAACATTTAATTCTGACAAATGATGCACCTTCTTAAATCTAGTTGATCTGATAAAAATTTGTTTTTTCTTTCTTTTTTTATAGAAATTTGTTGTTCATGGCGAAAATGGAAAGACAACTTGTGCCTACCCTCAACCTCAGCATAGCAGAATCTATTGAACAAGTTTATAGTCAACCATCTGTTCCTTACCTTGTGCAACAGCACAAATTCAAATGAGTAGTGTATTATCATTAAACACTCCAAGAAAGCAGAGACTGCGACTGAAGATAGCAACGTTAAGGAAATATTGAAAGATTTTCATGCTATGTGTAAACAATTTTTAAAAAAATCCTTTGCAGATATTGTAATTTCGCAGAGCTTATTACATAGTTGTATATTAGGATGTAGCTATTTTGATAAAGCTACTTATCTATGTATTATAAATTAGGCTTGCCTATAAATGTGCGTAAACAATTTTAATTATTTTAATTTTCATACACTTAAAACGATTTTGTTATGTTATGAATAATATGTAATAGCTTTAACAAAATATGTCATAGGTGTGTGATCCTTTTTTTTAGACTATATAAGCCTAATTAAGCATGTACGTAATTTGAGTACACAGTTTCTCAACTGTTTTTTTAAAGTTTTTTATAATATATTTATGTACTATTATCAGGTATATATTTGTTTCACTATTGTTTTTTAATTTCATTTTTAGTTTTATTGGTATTATAAATTATTATTAATAATAAGTATCCTTATTGCATATGTAATAAAAAAGAATCTGAAAATAAATTCCATTCAAAAATTCTATTTTAATAAAATACATGCATAGATTGTAAACTTATCAATTGCATAAATACACGTTTTTTATTTTTCTTTGGTTTTTATTTATAAAATCCCTAAAATATGCTTTAGCTAATGATTTTTTAACAATTATCCCAATTGATTTATACTTATGGATCATAAATGACTAGTAAAATTTGTGGCATAATATTAATAGTTCATTATGACAGGGTAAAATAAACTATTGTTTAAAACTTTATAATTTTCATTTTTGAAACCTCTGTCGGAAGTGCTACAAATTGAAAAATATTTTACTTAAATCAAGAATAGTTTAAAATTCATTCATACAAATTTTCATAAAATATGACACATAATTCTGGAAAAGAGAAATGTTGTTTTCGCAGTGTAGGTTCAGTGAATAGCTATAGAGAAAGTAAAAGTTGAAAAGTCTTTTGGTAGGTAGAGAGGGGGTAAACGTCAAACCACGTCGGGCGGCTCCGAGAATTTCACAGTAATGTTTACCTGCCAGTGTCGTATCATAGAATAAGTAATTTTAAATTGTTATCGGCGGAACCGGACAATCGCATGTATTTATGGATTATAAATAATTATTAAACATGTATTATAATATTCTAATTATAATTTTAC